AGGAATGCATCCCTTGTGTTTTGTGTGGATAATATGATATAATTTTTCAATTATTTGTGGATAAATATTAAATTCTATGACACTTTTCAAGAAAAGTTGGATACTTCCTTTGAATTTGCAGGCCCGATCTGAAAAATAGTTGCTTGTCAAACATTTTTTTATGCTTTCTATTAAAAACTAACATTTCACTTCCCTCCAGAATTGTCCAGTACTTAATTCTCTGCATCTTCTTCCTTTTCATTTTTAGATAATGATCTGCATTTAGGAGATGCTCTTGGTGGGGGTGAGTATTTTTTTCTTTTCTCAGATATAATATATATTTTTTTTGGTAGGGAGATTTTTTGCTTAGTCTTTTTTTAAGTCTACCCAATTTGCATAAAGACATTTCAAGACTGCAAGAGGATTTAGTTGTAGTAGTGGGAGGCATTATTGCTCATGTCTGTGCAGTCGCTTTGCCAGGGGTTATCATACAGGGAGGGTAGTATGGGCTGTCCCTGGTTGCCCGCCATGGGAGTTTGCAGGCTGGCACTCTCGTATACACTGAAGTCAGTCACGGTTTACATTTCTGTGCCAGCTTATCCATGGCCATGGCTGGGAGTAGATGTACTGCCTATTGAGCTGTGCTGTCTCAGGGGTAGTAGCTCTTGGCAGAAGGATGGAGGGAATTGGTTATAGCAGTAGCCAGCACTCTTCAGCTGCCAAAGATGAGTCTGCCGAAGATTAGGAAACAGAGGTAACAGTGTGAACAGAGATAGGTGTGAGCTTATTTTTACCTGTGCTGACCCCAAAATGCTGGGAAGGCAGTGTTCAGAGATGAGCATTGATGGATGTGATAAAGCTAAGGTTTGAGGCAGTCAAGCCCTTATAACCTGCTACAACGTGCAGGTATTACGATAACATCCAGACCTGATCCAGGACATATTCACAATATTGCACTAAGCTGTGTAGACATATGACATCCATAACTGTGATTTTTTTGTACCACGTTTTTAGCGTCTTTGGAGGTGGCTATATTAAGGATGTGAGGTAATTTGGAAAGGTTCCTGCATACTGAAGTAAATTAAAGTGCAGGTAGTATTGGATCAAAGCATAAAATCCCACTTGAATCAACACTACCTGGAAGAAATATTACTTCACAGCCTGTTGTACAGCACTGCTGAATTCTAACACCAGTTACAGCAGTCTATTTTAGTTATGTTTCAGTCTTAAAGAATTATACCATCTATATAGTTCCTTCTCATTTCCAGAACTTTCAGCATTTCCAGATTGCCCTCTGGCATTTGATACATGTGTTTGAATGACAAATTAGTCTATACTTCTGTAATATAATTTTGTTTATATTTCCTATGTTATGATGTCACTTCTTCCTGCTCATATTAATTGTTCCACTTCTGAACATTTTTACTCTGTGCTTCTATTAGAGGATGGCTTTAGTATGTTGATTTTATTCACCTGCTGATTCAGAGAATGGCTATGATGTTCCCCTTGGCTTCCATTTCTTCAGCTTATTTTCAGTTCATGCTTTTAATTGGCATTCATGAATGGTATAGTGGGGTTAATATGTTCTTCAGACATTATTTTTTGCTAGCTATGACATAGAATACATCCTGCTCAGTTTAGAGAAGATTTAATAACTGCAGCATCATAGTAGAATTGAATAACGGGATTTGTAGTTTTCTGCTTTTGTGTCATAGTGGGTCTTAGTTAATTACATAGGGTTCTGTGATAGAACAAATCTTTTCTCTGTTATGATAGCAGTAATTGGGAAAAATCTGATTCAGTAAAGCTTTAAGAGTCTCCCTCAAATCCATTGGTTGCAGTAGGCTCAAAGTTAAGAATATACTTAAATATTTTGCTGAAACAGAACTGAAAGTTAGTCACAAACAGAAGCATTACATTTAGCACCTAGACAAGAGGAAAACATGATACAAGTGTATCTGGAGTGTATTGTACACAAAAGAAAGATTTAGGGAGAGCGTAGGAAAATGATAAATATTTCTGTGACCTAACTTTGAGTTAGCTGGAAATAAAGCTAAATTCACTGCTTGATTATGTGATCAGTTAAATAAGCTACTGAGCTGGCTGGAGAAAGGATGGGAAGAGGGGGCCTACTTTATATATGCAGAGCAATGGCCCTGGGCATTAGCTTTGGCAGTGCTTGACCTGAATCTACCCTTGCTACTCTAGCACTGTGTGTGCAGTTTGTAAATTACTAGTATTCTGATCTCCCTCTCTATCCAGTGCATCTTTTCCTAATACTGTGGCAGAAATAGAGTCTGAATACTAGCACAAAATCCTAAGGAACAAAGCTGAAGCCTAAGTTCATTTTGCACTGTTCAGGAGTAGAAAATTCATTATGTGGTAGATGAATTCAGCAAGAGTTAGATGAAACTAGTCTCCAGTTTTTAACAATACCTGTCAGTGGCGGAGTTAATCTCTTGCCTCCCACCCAGCCTAGAGCATCAACTGGCTCTGTTGGCTCTGCCTCACTGCCACCTACCGTAACATATTGTTCTTTCCAGATGTCAGCATCAATTAATATTAGCACTTGCTAGAAATACATGAAATATTTTTCTTGGACGTTCTTGTGGATTCTTTTCTATTTAATTTTGAAAATTTTCCTTTTCCATTCTCTAACTGGCTTTAACACCTATTAATTTGTTGCTATCAGGCTAGAGACTTTTCAAATAATGGCAAGGTCCTTCTCTTACTTTACTAGGGAAAAAAAATAGCAATAGCTATAAAAATGTCAGGTTATTATACTCTTTATTTACAGCTCTAAGTTTTCTGTTTTTCACTATCTAACAATATCTATTACCAATAGGTGACATCCCAAGAAAACCTTTATATCCACCTCTTCCACCACGACCAGGAAGCCACAGTGATTCTGGTAAGAATGTTTTCTTTAAAGAAAATCTTAAAACGATGAGCTGTTCAGATCAGGTATTTTGAATAATTTATTCTCTTATTTCTCTATTAATTATTTTAATCATCACTTCCCCCTCCCCACTTTGTAATCATTGTTTCTGACCCAGTATTTGGAAAGATTTTCTGAGCTTTAGTGTTGGTACCAAAATTTTTTTTTTTCTGCCCAATATGTAGGATGTTGAATCCTAAGCAGCAGTAGATTAATCCTCATCTTGTTTGCCCTTTCATTTTGGGAATGAGCCAAGGGTTTGCCAAAGGTTTGCCTTTCACTGAACAATGCTAAGGTCCAAATTTGATATTTGACCCCATTCTGTGGATAAGCCTATGCAAAAGTCCATACTGAGATGTGAATCTGAGATGGTTCTTGGGCATAAACCAGGAGGGACTGGAGAGATGCATAGCTTAAGCCTGTATTGCTTTTGAGTGTGGTTCCAGAGACACATTTGGGTACCATGGCAGTGGTACATCTATCCTAGCTGACACCATGTATCCCATCTTTACTTCTACTACGATTGTAGTGGCCAGCTGCGGACAGACAGGTCCGTCTGATGTCTTTCCTAGAAGGGACTCATTGAATCCCTTCTGCAGAAGAAGCTGGGATTTGACATATCCATACTATACATGGATTTGTGCTAGTAAGAGCTGGAGCCCACACACCCCACAGGTAGCTATACAGATGCACAGAGTGGGGTCAGTTAACAAGCAGGGCTTTTCCACATTTCCCTCACTTTTGACTCCTAAACACAGCACAGATTTAATTCATTGACAGAAGTATATGTCTTCATGCTCAGAATGGTTGGCTGCAGGTGCTGACGGTTTTAGTACTCCAGCTTCCAGGTGCCTTTGAATGGGTCACCATTCGGTGCAAGATACCTGACCCATCCGCCAGGTGGATTTCCAAAGGTCGCTCACCTCTCCCTAGAATATTACAAAGAGATTGGACAAGGGAGCTGAAAGGATATTCAGATAATTTTGCAATATAAATTCTCATCTTTATCTTGCAGGAGGTTTTAATGACTTAGATCTCGTTGATGGGAAGCCTTTACCACCACGACTACCAGGTAGCGTTTGCCAATTCTCCTTGTAGCTTCTCTCTGATTATTATAATTCATAGCTATCTGGTTTTGCTTTTGCAGAAATCTGTTTGTCACTGAAGGAATAGGACAAGATTCTGCTGTTTTTATTTAAATCAGTCCTCCTTCTCCACAAACCTTAGCTTTGAGCCTAGAGCTCTAAGTCACTTGAAACCTATCCTTAAGCACTTTGCAGGGCTAAGCTGGAATCTTACAGGATTAATCCTTCTGAATTCAGCTAGGATAGTCCCAAAGCAAGGGACTCCTGCTCAGAACTGAAAGTAGATGCACCAGACCTATGATCAGACTTAAATTACTGATAAATCTTCTGCTTGTCTGGCAGCAGGCAATAAAAAGAATACAGTATTGGCCTCCCATGTCCTTTAAAATGAGCTTGATGTAGATAGCTAAGTATTATCCTTTTTTTTTTTTTTTTTTTTTAGAATATAGTATTAATGAAGATGCAGATAGATGGAAGGTTATTCCTCCTACCAAAGCAACTGCCAGTCAGGATTAGAATCACAGCTCCTTTCTCACAGAGCTCCGCTCTAGCTACCTAGTTTGACGTTTTGTATGAAATTGTTTTACTGAGTAAAGACTTTGTTCTCAAAACATAATGCAAAACATTTCTTGATGAAATTCTACCCTCTATTCCAGGAGAAGACGAGCATCATTTCAATCACGGAGGAAATACTGGTACAATGAATAATTTATTCTGTAACTTGTTTCAGATCATCTTAAGTAGTAAGAAAATGTTAGCATTATAAAAGTAGTACGTATGCTAAATGATGCTGTAAGTTACTATTTTCACATCAGCTATAATATAACATAATTGCTAGTCTTCTATTTAATGCTGTATATTAAATTCCAATGTAACACCAAACAATTCTCAACGTTTTGCAAAAACATACTTTGGTAGGAAATATGCTTAAGTCATATTACTTCAGTGACTCTGGAAAAAACTCTCTCTCTTTTTCCTACAGATTCAGGGTTAATAGCTGGAGTTACATCTCCTATAATTTCTGCTTTTGTAATATTAGTTGTTGGATCAATAGCAGCCTACTCAGCTTACAAGAACAAGAGACTTTGTTTTAAACCACAAGGTAAGAACAAACTAGTTTACCACTTTTTTAGTTGATTTAGCTCTGAAGTAAATGGACATTTTACAAAAAAATTCAATGAGAACAGAAATAAGTTAGAGATGAGAGTTTTTGAAAATCTTATTCCAAACAATCTCCCTGGTTTGTAACATATATTTATAATTAAGATTCTTCATTAAGAACAAGCACAGGAAGCCATAGCATGCCCAAAACACAGATGTAAATCACTTCATGAAAAGAATTAGGTAATGTGAGGTCTCAACAACCACCATGTAGACAAGCAGAGCAGGGTGGTGACAGCAACAGGTCCTATGATAGCCCAGTAATCACAAGATGAAGACAAGGCAACAAGTGAGATCCAAGGGCAAGCCAGGAAACCTAAGCACCGATTCAGGGTAGGGTTGGAAGTAGGCACCCCTCGGAAGCAGCTTGGGCAGGGACTGCCTGCCCAGACTGGAGCTGAAGTGAAGCCCCCAAGCAGAGGGGAAAGGCCCCAGGTGAGGCCTGTCACCACAAAAAAGGGCCATTCACGCACTCAGGGCCCTGAGAGTCACCTCTTTCCTCTGTTTGCACAGCAGGGGTATAATAGAAGCATCATGTCAAATTCTGATGAAAGGCTGCAATCAGTGATGCTATGGCCCTCTGGACAGGGGAGTGGATAGAGACAATGGGAGATGCTGTCTGTACCTCTCTGGGGGCACAAGGGTCCCAACTGATGTCAGAAAGGACTAGAGTAAAAAAAACACAAAAAGCATTTTATACGCTGAAGAACTGGCAAAGAATACCTGTAGCAGAAAGGCTGAATTGTCAATCTTCATTTTTTAGGTGGGGCTGCAGTGTAAACTGCTGAAAGAAAAGCTATCCAATGGTGACAGGCTCCTTTGGTTGGTGGTGCTATCTTACAGATTGCTCTTCTAAATTGATGGTTTCCTTGGTCCAGAAATGAACACTCCGCCACAGACCTGACAAATTTTAATTCTACTTACCATCCTGATTTCAAAAAAAAATTTACCAATCTTACACTAACATTTTGTTGGGACATTGCAAGTCTGTTTTCTTCTACCTGATGTTACTTTTCCATTTTGAAGTGTATGTCATTAAAGATGTGCTTAAATGGCTGTGGATGGTACTGCACTATCTGATGTCTATTAATAAAGTGGAATAGGTATTTTGATTCAGAAGTTATTGTAGACAATAATAAGTCCAATAAATCAAGTATAATATGTACTTGAAATTTAATGATTTTGGTTTCTGAGTATTTGAGTCACTGAGCACTTTTTTCCTGTTTTCATAATTAGCCGAAATAGTTAATCCTTCTGATAGAATAAGGCAATTGCCATTTTCAGTCATACATTTTGGGTTCCTTTAGTATATATCTGTATTGTCTATAATGTTATGGAAAATTTGACGTTACATAAAAAGACTAAAAATTGTAATGTCTTTATTTTGTATCTAATGGCTGAATTCTTGCAAAATAGAAAGAGTTATAGGTGAAAAATGTATTAATTCTTAATTTCAAAATATAGCATGAGAAGAATATGTATATATGTATATTGATGGACCACTGTTTAAAAAAAATTCTCAGAACATGAGAGGATTTTTTTTTCGTGGGGTTTAGGTTTTCTCAAGAACTGGAAACTGAAATAAGTTTTGTTTCTTTTCTTGAAAACTTAGAGCCTGTTCTAGAAGCCTTCAAAGTCATTATAATCTGACAGTTCTTATTTAATAAAGAATCATATTATTGATAATTTCTACAAAGGAAAAATAGGCATGAAGTTTTTGGAATCGTTTATAACTAGTCTGTGACACTTTGTTCTGTAAAATTTATGTCATGTCTACTTTTAAATTTCATATATATCTTTTAGCAGAGGCATAGCTGATGCTCCAAGCTTTTCTAGCAAGGCTATTTCATCTTTTCCCCTTGTTCCTGACCAGCCAAGCTGTGCTAACAAATGTCCTTATGTAGACATCTTGTCATCAGTAAAAAATAGCATTTTCTCAGTTTCACTGCCTCAATTTAGTTAACTCAATCAAACTACTAGGAAAAGAATTAAATGCTGCTGAAAGCTAGCAAAACTAGTAGAGTTTACTGGCATAATTCTATGATACAGCTATTTTAGCTACTCCTTTTAAGCATAGATGAAATTTCTGTATTTTGATCTTCATCTTACATGCAAAACATGCTTTGTCTTACTTACCTGTGAAGTTGCATGTAGATGGAGGTAAACATAATCTGTGTTTATTAAATTGTTGAGAGAAAGATGTCATCTTGGAAAGTACTCTTGTTATAACATAATTTAATCTTATAAATAATTATATGTGAAATGGATATATCAGTTGCTGAGGAGAGAAATTATTGTCTTTACTTTGATCCTGAAACTAAGAAAATATAACATTAGTTTAGTTAGATGTTGAGTTATTAGTTGTTCAGTTAATGGAGTGTTTGTTTAGAGATGCTCTAATGTATTTACATTGGAGGGGGAAGGGAGGGAATGTAACCTAGTCATTAGACCATGGTAACCCTGGCACATTAGTTTAAATATGGAACTGTCCTGACAACACACAAAGGAAGGAGCACCTTTGTGGCTATCACTTTCAACCTATAAAACTATCAATCAACCTTCTATGTTAATAGTTATAAAAGACTGGTGCATGTTTTGCCAGGTAGATGTATAGTTTCGTTACTGAAATGTTAAAAGATTTCTACTGTGCAGAAGTGAAGTGACCATCTGAAGAGCTGATAATCCTATTGTGAATATTTTGGAAAAAAAAAAGTCTTGTCGCTGCCAGGTCAGTTGTTTGTTTAACAATAAAAATATTTATTTTGCTTCTTTCTCTTGAAAATTTTCAATAAACACTATGTTTTATCTAAGATAAGCTGAATTTTTTTTGGTACTTTCTGGGAAATATACTGGCTGATGGCCTCCTATCCAAATTAAGCTATATCCTGCTGGAGAAAAGAAATAAATGTTTCAAACAGAAGTTTTTAGGGAAAAAAGAAAACAGCTTTAGATTTTTTTTTTTTTTTCAGCAGCCATGTCCAGAGAAGGATCTGTATATCATGAAGAACATAAATATTTTTGGTTTTGAAATATTATTACAATTGACTGTAATGTGTTCACAATATTTTTAAAACAATGTCTATTCAGTTGAAAGTACCTGTGTTAATACCATCAGCCAAAAAGCAGGTTTACTGTGAAGAATTTGAGGAAAAAATTGCTTGCTAGACTTGGTCGACCTCTCTTCCCCCCGACAAACTTCTAATCCTCTGAAGCTCTTTGGTCTAATGACATCAACATAACAACCCAATATACCAGGGTACAGGTATACCTTTCAGTGTTTGCTTTCCTTTACACTAGCATAGTTGTTCAGTTAAAGGAGTGTTTGTTTAGAGACGCTCTAATGTATTTGCATTTGAGGGGGAAGGGAGGGAATGTAACCCAGTCGTTAGACCATGGTAACCCTAGCTTGTATTATTGGCATTTCCATTTTAAGTCTAGTCTATATGGTAAAAAATTTGGTGGTTCACAAGTATAACAAAAAGCTATCCAAATGTAGTTTTTGTTACCAGGAAAATGCTTTTGTTGATTATAAAAAGTCCTGTAATTGAAACAAAATCTGCCCGTAAAAGCACCTACAGTAGCAATCTTGCTGTTTGTAAGAATATTGTTTAGTTGACCTGTCTATCTGAGATGATTAACACATTCCCTGAGAATTTATTTTCTGATCTGGAACGAATGAAGTTTTATTTCCTATGCATTTATGTCCCTTCTTCCTTAAACTCCACAGTCACTACTAGAACAATGCTATCTTTTTCTCTGATGGACTGTTAGGATCCCCCCAGGATGTCAGAAAACGTCTGTCATAGGCAACGTGTGAGCCGCCAGCATCACCTGCAGACCGTGGAAAATAAAGGTTTAAGAGCTGAGTGGTACATGCGTTTCCCTCACAGGCGCTCTGTGTTGAGTCACTTTCCTCCACGAAGTAGTTGGTGGCTTTCAAAGAAGTAAATTGCCTCTGCTGAACTACCTCAGTCTAGAACTACCTGCCAAGGGCACTGTGTGGCAGAATGACACATTTTTCACTAAATTCACTTTGAAATCATTTGCAAAAACATTATATATATATATATGTATATTT